TGAAATTGATTTCCTACGAAAGGTCACGCTTGCATCCCAAGTACTAAGTTGTCACTACTTTGGTCAGTGACTTAGTTTGGCTACATTGTGTTGGCTGACATGAGGACAGTATCCGGATTTGATATCATGATATCAGCAATAATATAGAGAAAGGTGGTACAAACTGCTCGTACATCCATGTGATATCAGTCACCTAACTATCTAGGCCAAACTATTGGAGACTGCGTTAATGGTGTGTATTACCCATACAGTCTAGGATACGCAGGTGATTATTTTTGTGATAATCGCACATGTGCTTTTCAGTTATTCTCAACGTTGATTAAAATGTGATTTTAGATTCTTCAGGATTTCAGTTGATATGTTGTCCTCTGAATAGTCTTAAGGCTATACTGGCACTTAATAGAAGAAATATGATTGGTTGACGGAACTACTTTTCATGATCAAAGTCACCGTTTCATTGATAATTAGAACGTGCTGTACTCACACATTCCGAGATTAAAAAAAGAAAACATAAACGTTAAAAAATATGAATACTCTTTTTATTAGACATTATTATTTTGCAATAAAATTGCGTTATAAATAGTAGTCTTTCTAAAATAAATAACCATTAAAAAATCCAAAACAATCGTTTGCATTGTTTGTAAACAAACATGGCCGCCATTAGGCTAACCCCGATCAAGGCCCGAAAAGGTCTCATCCAGACCCTCTCTGACAATGGTTTACGAGTACATCAAATCATGCAAATTTCCGGGCACAAAAATGTTCAGTCAATAAACAGTTACTCTTAAATTAATAAGAAACAACATCAGTCCAATTGTTTTCAAACCCTTGTAACTCCACCACTCTGCCCATTCATCCTCAGCCTCAGACTGCCACCATGACGTCACAGTCTTTGTCGCATGCCGTAATTCTTCATTCTGTACATACACTATTCTCAGGTCCAATTTATGGTAGTGTATTCCACTTCAACATCTCGAATGACTCCTCTGTCAGTCGACCATCGGCTCCAAAGAGGCGTATTCTTCCCATTGACTCGGATTCCGACTAGAGTTATCCTTCTTGGAACTGCTGTACTCTACTGGGACCAATGACGTGACTGTATCACGCCTTCCACAGAAAAAAACTGTTGTTAAACTTCAAACTTGTTGAGTTTCTTGACAGAAAACTTTTTCTAGATGTATTTGTGGGATGATTGTCTTTTATATTTCCAAACTTTTAACCGTTGACTTTCCCAAAAATTGACAGGTTTTTGCCAAGGTTTCAACACAACACCGTCACCCATCACGTGAATGAACGATGTTCCGTCGCACTGACTTGGTCAAATAACGGTTTAGCAGTTACTAAGTTCAATGATATATTTAAAAGATCATTATTATCATATCACAAATGTTAATGTATTATTCCAGACAAAATATTTTTGTTGTATTTTAAAACGATTTTACTAGGTACTATTTTCCATAGCGTAGTTATGTTATTACCGCTGGAGAAGTTTAATATGCGCATGAATACGAATCAGTTGTTTGAGGTCACAAGTCCTGTCTCCGGGTGGTTTTATTTAGTGGTTCTTCTTTTTAAATTACATTATGGGTAAGGCTCGGCACTGTGAACATTATTTCAACTCGGGCATATTCCCCGTAATCACTCGAACCTCGTTGGTTATTCTCTAAGTATTGCTAATAGGTCAGTGTAATTCCATCCGAGGTCCACACAATGCTGTCAACGATGCTGAAGTGTCTGGATCCCACAGGTAAATAAATCTGACTCCTGTTGGTGTGAAATGACAATTGAAGCAAAAATTGCATGAGGATCAATTTACATAACAATTTCCAGACGTATATGAACCCACGTGATGAATAACGTTCGAAATAACAACCTACGTGTTGAATAACGTTAGAGATAATCTGCCTGACAAATAACATTTTAGATAAGAACCTTCAGGATGAATAACGTTGAAGATAACAAGTTTCATGTATTGAATACGGCTGAAGATAACAACATTAATAGTGAATAACGTTGAAAATAACAAGTTTCATATGGTGAGTACGGCTGAAGATAACAACATTGATAGTGAATAACGTTGAAGATAACAAGTTTCATATGAATAACGTTGAAGATAACAAGTTTCATATGGTGAATACGGCTGAAGATAACAACATTAATAGTAAATAACGTTGAAGATAACAAGTGTCATATACATGGTGAATACGGCTAAAGATAACAACACTGATAGTTTTTAACGTTGAAGATAACAAGTTTCATGTGGTGAATACGGCTGAAGATAACAACATTAATAGTGAATAACGTTGAAGATAACAAGTGTCATATACATCATTAATAGTGGTGAAAATAACAAGTTTCATATACATGGTGAATACGGCTGAAGATAACAACATTGATAGTGAATAACGTTGAAGATAACAAGTTTCATATGGTGAATACGGCTGAAGATAACAACATTAATAGTGAATAACGTTGAAGATAACAAGTGTCATATACATGGTGAATACGGCTGAAGATAACAACACTGATAGTTTTTAACGTTGAAGATAACAAGTTTCATATGGTGAATATGGATGAAGATAATAACATTGATAGTGAATAACGTTGACGTTAACAACCTGCTTGGTAAATAAGTTCGAGGATACCAACACTGCGTCTCGGGATCAAGGGACAAAACAAGGAATGACCAGTGACCCCATCACCAATCTAATTGACCCGATGACCAGATTCAGTTTCTTAGCAACATGCCTAGCTCGCAGGCTTCACCGAACCCGTGAAGGTCGGGCCTCCCTCCCACAACAACCTGACACGCCGTCATCAAACCCAAACACATTTTAAGAAGGCGTTAAACCAAACTCACGAACGCACCTACCAAAGCAGCCACTGCGACAACATCAACGACAACATCAACAACGGGGACTACCAGAAAATTAGCTGTTTCGGAAAGGCATATCTCTGTACACACTGGCAGGGGCGACATTATACTCTGCCATTGCTACAGTACACCGTGTAATGAACCCCGCTAAGTTCCAATTGTAATCCTACACAGAGTTTGAAAAAATCAATGCAATCTTTTTTTGTACACCTCCCAGTGCGTAAAAAATTGCGAAAACGACGCTGTGATAAATACGTCTCGGTCGTAGTAGCAGCAGTCGTAATTGCCCTAAACTAGTTAGGGTGACTATTCCCATCCACTGGTACCAAGCGTGGGGTTTATATTGTTTCAAGGAGAGATTAGCTTGTACATGAACTTCAAACACCCTTGTGTCGCAAACTCACCCATCGGGTCATTGGGGGACTTTTAGGCAAATGTATAAAATTGTAAAGACGTGCTTTATCATAACGACTGTCAAGAGATTATCGTTTAGTATTCCGAGGATATTTGTATGTAGGGCAGCCCCTGGGTGATCTTGTAGATATCTTTCAGACCATGAATGGCCAAGCGTGGCCCAGTGGTAATTGCAGCTCGAAATGCAGCAGATTCGGGTTCAGTCCCAAACGGAGGAGGTACAGTGGGTAGTCTAGTCGTTAAAGCGTTCGCTCGTCACGCCGAAGAGACGGGTTTGATTCCCCACATTGGTACAATGCGTGAAACCGTTTCCTGTTTTTCCCAGCCGTAATATTGCTGAAACACTGATTATTGGAAGTAGCGTAAAACAATACTCACTCACTATAAACGGAGATACAGTAATCATTGGGGCAAATTATAGTAAACTTTATGTGACACAACCTGGAGTTGTAGATGATATTCTATTTTTTTACATGTAAATATATTTTAATAAGGAAATTATGCATAACAAAGAATCAATAAAGTTGTCATGAGATTTCATTACACATATATATCTTTTAGAAAAAGTAGACATATCCTTGTTTGACCCAAATGCGTAGATCGATGCTCATGATGTTGATCACTGGATTGTCTGGTCCAGACTCGATTATCTACAGACCGCCGCCATATATCTGGAATATTGCTGAGTGCGGCATTAAACAACAAGCCCACACACCTCGTTTGACCCCTACACAGGGGACTATAGACTATCAGTATATTTACACATCACGGCAACAGAGACTATCGGTTGTTCAGTAACTGTAACATGTGCAAACTGTACATAATGGCAGCAATCGTCGTTTATAATTCGATATTGTCTAGATCGAGATTAACATTTCATATCAGTTCGATCTCATAGTTGACATGCTCCTGTTTGTTACAAACGTGCTTGACTGCCATGTATATAAATTGAATTAATGTTAACAGCTAATGCTGTTACTGCCGCTCAGATAAGATGGGAAGCCTTTCTACAGGGCACGTGGCCCGAGAGGCCGGAGATAAGGGATTTACTTCATACAGTTTTATACGAGCCGACATAATAGGCGTGAAGATGTCCCGCGGCCTGTTTGCTTTTCTGATAAGTCGCTGGTTTGCATATTCGAGCATTGTTGTTCTGCTTGACAGAGGTTGTTTTGCTTGACAGAGGTTGTTTTGCTTGACAGAGGTTGCTCTGCTCGTCGGGCGTTGATCTGTGCCAGTAGGGCGTTGTTCTGCTTGTCGGGCTTCCTTTCTGCTTGATTGTGGTAATTATCTTTCTACACTATTTGATCTGCATATGGGGGGTTCTTTCTGTTTGTCGGGGGTTGTTCTGTTTGTCGGGGGTCTGTTTGGTCGGGGGTGTTTTTTCTTTGTCGGGGTTGTTCTGTTTGTTGGGGTTCTGTTTGTCGGGGGTTGTTTTGTTTATCGGAGATTGTTCTGTTTGTCGAGGGTTGTTCTATTTGTCGGAGGTTGTTCTGTTTGTCGGAGGTTGTTCTGTTTGCCGGGGGTGTTTTCTTTGTCGGGGTGGTTCTGTTTGGTGGGGGTAGTTCTGTTTGTCGAGGGTTGTTCCCATTTGTCGGAGGTTGTTCTGTTTGTAGGAGGTTGTTCTGTTTGCCGGGGGTGTTTTTTGTTGTGGGGGGTTGTTCTGTTTGTCGGGGTTGTTTTGTTTATCGGAGATCTGTTTGAGGTTGTTCTATTTGTCGGAGGTTGTTCTGTTTGTTTGCCGGGAGTTTGTTCTGTTCTGAGGGCTTGTTTGTGGGAGGTTGTTCTGTTTGTCAAGGGTTGTTTTGTTTGTCTTCTGTTTGTCGGGGGTTGTTTGTTTGTCAGGGTTGTTCTGTTTGTCGGGGGTTGTCGGAGGTTGTTTGTTCTGTTTGTCGGAGGTTGTTGTTTGTTTTGTCGGGAGGTTGTTCTTGTTTGTCGGGGGAGATTGTTCTGTTGTGGAGGTTGTTCTGGGGTTGTCGGTTTGTCGGGGGTTGTTTTGTTTGTCGTTTGTTGGATTGTTCTGTTTGTCGGGGTTGTTGTTCTGATTGTCGTCAGAGGTTGTTCTGTTTGTCAGAGGTTGTTCTGTTTGTCGGGAGTTGTTCTGTTTGTCGTGGTTGTTCTGTTTGTCGGAGGTTGTTTTGTTTATCGGGGGTTGTTCTGATTGTCGGAGGTTGTTCTGTTTGTCGGAGGTTGTTTTGTTTGTCGAGGGTTGTTTTGTTTGTCGAGGGTTGTTTTGTTTGTCGAGGGTTGTTTTGTTTGTCGGGGGTTGTTCTGTTTGTCGGAGGTTGTTCTGTTTGTCGGGGCTGGTTTCTATTTGTCGGGGGTTGTTCTGTTTGTCGGGGGTTGTTTTGTTTGTCGGAGGTTGTTCTGTTTGTCGGGGGTTGTTTTGTTTGTCGGAGGTTGTTCTGTTTGTCGGAGGTTGTTTTGTTTGTCCGAGGTTGTTCTGTTTGTTGGGGGTTCTGTTTGTCGGGGGTTGTTCTGTTTGTCGGGGGTTGTTCTGTTTGTCGGAGGTTGTTTTGTTTGTCGGGGATTGTTCTGTTTGTCGGAGGTTGTTCTGTTTGTCGGGGGTTGTTCTGTTTGTCGGGGTTGTTTTGTTTGTCGGAGGTCATTCTGTTTGTCGGGGGTTGTTCTGTTTGTGGGAGGTTGTTTTGTTTGTCGGAGGTTGTTCTGTTTGTCGGATGTTGTTTTGTTTGTCGGGGATTGTTCTGTTTGTGGATTGTTCTGTTTGTCAGGGTTGTTCTGTTTGTCATCGGAGGTTGTTTTGTTTGTCGGGGTTGTTCTGTTTGTCGGGGTTGTTTTGTTTGTCGGGGTTGTTCTGTTTGTCGGAGGTTGTTCTGTTTGTCTTGTTTTGTTTGTCGGGGTTGTTTTGTTTGTCTGGGGTTGTGTTTGTGGGAGATTGTTCTTCTGTTTGTGGGGAGGTTGTTTTGTTTGTCGGGGGTTGTTCTGTTTGTTGGGTTGTTCTGTTTGTTTGGGGGTTGTTTTGTTTATCGGAGATTGTTCTGTTTGTTTTCAGGTTGTTCTGTTTGTCGAGGGTTGTTCTCGGGGTTTTGTCGGAGGTTGTTTTGTTTGTCGAGGGGTTGTTCTGTTTGTCGAGGGTTTTGTTTGTGTTTGTTTGGGAGGTTGTTCTGTTTGTCGGAGGTTGTTTTGTTTGTCGGGAGGTTGTTTTGTTTGTCGGAGGTTGTTTTGTTTGTCGGAGGTTGTTTTGTTTGTCGAAGGTTGTTTTGTTTGTCGGGGGTTGTTCTGTTTGTCGGGGATTGTGTTTGTCGGAGGTTGTTCTGTTTGTCGGAGGTTGTTTTGTTTGTTGGGTTGTTCTGCTTTTATCGGGGTTGTTTTGTTTGTCGGAGGTTGTTCTGCTTGTTTGTGGTAATTATCTTTCTACAGTATTTGATCTGCATGTGGGGGTTCTTTCTGTTTGTCGGGGTTGTTCTGTTTGTCGGGGGTTGTTCTGTTTGTCGGAGATTGTTCTGTTTGTCTGGGGGTTGTTCTGTTTGTCGGGGTTGTTCTGTATGTTGGGGGTTGTTCTGTTTGTCGTCGAGGGTTGTTTTGTTTGTCGGAGGTTGTTTTGTTTGTCGGGGTTGTTGTTCTGTTTGGGGGGTTTTCTGTTTGTCGGGGGTTGTTCTCTTTTCGGGGGGAGTTGTTCTGTTTGTCGGAGGTTGTTCTGTTTGTCGGGGGTTGTTTTGTTTTGAGGGAGGTTGTTTTGTTTGTCAGGGAGTTCTGTTTGTCGAGGGTTGTTTGTTTGTCGGGGGTTGTTCTGTTTGTCGGAGGTTGTTCTGTTTGTCGGAGGTTGTTTTGTTTGTGGAGGTTGTGTTGTTTGTGGAAGGTTGTTTTGTTTGTCGGGGGTTGTTCTGTTTGTCGGGGATTGTGTTTGTCGGAGGTTGTTCTGTTTGTCGGAGGTTGTTTTGTTTGTTGGTGTTTGCTCTGTTTATCGGACTTCCTTTCTGCTTGTTTGTGGTAATTATCTTTCTACAGTATTTGATCTGCATGTGGGGGGTTCTTTCTGTTTGTCGGGGGTTGTTCTGTTTGTCGGGGTTCTGTTTGTCGGAGATTGTTCTGTTTGCTGGGGGTTGTTTTTCTTTGTCGGGGGTTGCACTGTATGTTGGGGGTTCTGTTTGTCGAGGGTTGTTTTGTTTGTCGGAGGTTGTTCTGTTTGTTTTGTCTGTCGGGGGTTGTTCTGTAGGGGGTTTTCTGTTTGTCGGGGGTTGTTATCTTTTTCGGGTTTTGTGTTTGTCGGAGGTTGGTCTGCTTGTCGGGGGTTGTTTTGTTTGAGGGAGGTTGTTTTGTTTGAGGGAGGTTGTTTTGTTTGTCGGGGGTTGTTCTGTTTGTCGGAGGTTGTTCTGTTTGTCGGGGGTTGTTTTGTTTGTCGGAGGTTGTTTTGTTTGAGGGAGGTTGTTTTGTTTGTCGGGGGTTGTTTTGTTTGTCGGGGGTTGTTCTGTTTGTCGGAGGTTGTTTTGTTTGTCGGGGGTTGTTCTGTTTGTCGGAGGTTGGTCTGCTTGTCGGGGGTTGTTTTGTTTGAGGGAGGTTGTTTTGTTTGAGGGAGGTTGTTTTGTTTGTCGGGGGTCGTTCTGTTTGTCGGAAGCTGTTTTGTTTGTCAGAGTTGTTTTTGTCAGGGGATTTTCTGCTTGTTGGAGGTTGTTATGTTTGTTTGGGGTCTTCGAGGTGAGGTGAGGTGAAATGGGGTTTAACGTCGTACTTAAGAATATTTCACTCATATCACAACGTGCATGGTTCGGATCATGCTGAGTTTTAGACCGTTGTTTTGAATTACAGTAATACACAAGGATACCAATAATATCACCTGCTCACCTGACACGCGGGAAGCCCGAGTTCGATTCTCGAAATGGATAATTCGTAGTAGCCGCTACTTAAATGTGTTCAAACAATTATGTAAAATCAGAGCGATATCATATCAACTCACGAAAAAACACTTTTACAAATGTGAAAAAATATAAACAACAACATTTCTACATCAATTATGAAAACAAAACAGCTTTATCTACTAGGACTACTTTCATAAGTCGTCAAAACTAGAAACACGCGCACATGCCTCCAATTGTAACCGTTCGGAGTGGGAATATCAGAATAAGTGAGGGAGACATGCATTATATATGAAGGATGAATAGAGGAAAAGGGAGGTATATACTAGTATATGCACTGATACGAGGGTACCATCAGAATGGGTGTGGGGGGGGGGAGAAAGTTGCGATATATAGACACTTTAGCTAGCCATTGTACATATAAATTTTCAATCATAAACAGCTTATATGTGTCTGTTCAGACATACAGACAGGTGAGACATCAATAAATATCTCTTCTCACCTTCCACCATTGCCCCTCACCCCACCCCCCTGTCCCTCTCTCTCTCTCTCTTCTTTCTCTCTCTCACACACGACACTTCAAAACAAAGAAATATTCTGGATTTCTTGCATATATTCCGCACAAACACTTACTATATATCATGCTGTTTTAGGAAAGATGCATTGCCTCATTGTTAGATGTGGAAACTCTACCAAAACACTGATTATGATTTTGCTCAGAAAATTATGAAACATTTTATTTCTCTGACCACGCAGTTAATTGTATACAGAACTGTACTCAATAAATCATCGTTGGTTATAGACAAATTACGCAATTGGGTTATATCAATAAATGTCACGTATCATGTCTATTTCAATCAGCTGATCGGTATAACCATGGTCGCATCCAGTGCATCTACGCATCAATCCAAATTATCAACTCGAGAACAACGTGCCTAGATGACGAACGATAATATGCAAAGTCATATACTTTGTATTTTTTCGTCATCAAGAAAGGAAATCTGGGTTTGACCAGTTGAGAAATGAGACTGTCACCCACCCGTTGACCTCTGTCTTTCTGTGTTAGATGGACTACTGGGGGTGACGTTTATTTTTGCAGACTGCTTTGGGCAATCCCATCAGGGCCTTGACAGGGACAAAAACACAGTTCTGTGATCTTTCCCAGAAGAAACAAATAATTAATGTGTTAGCACAAGTTACCTGCAAAACATTTCCGATCCAACAAGGTTTTTGTTTCACAATTTCCTAAACATTTTATTTTGCGTTTGAACAAAGCCGGTAATCGAACGTACACTTCATTGCACGGAAATAACGCTCAGAAAAACACCCGGATATAAGAGGAGACATTTCAATTAGCCTTGTAATTGAGCAACGCCTGGGTAGCGAGCCCTGACAGTCAGGGCGACGCTTTCTTTCTGTAGTCTGAGTCGCGCTCAGTCTGATCATCACTCACGACGACGTTTTGCGTTGTTTGTCACTGCATGGAGCTTCCTCCCATCCTCTCCCCCTCGGAGTCCGGCGTTAGAGATTATTTACCCTCGAAGCTTCACAGTCGTAGGGACAAACTTCGTCTTTCGTTTAAGCCTGGAGACAGTGCCTCAACTAGAGAGCTAATCAAATTTTTATCATCCGTAATTGCGCTTAATCAAATAATAAAGCTGAGAGAATAATTTGGCACGCTATCGCAAGGTTTCGTTTATACGGCGTGGTGGAAGCGAGCTCTGCTCCGTGTCAAACTTGCAGCGGGAGGCCCGTCTTATCTGTAAGAAAGCGAGCTGGACCGATGAAGTTCAATCTCCAAGCCATTCCCTCCATACTAAGTCGGCTGGCAAGCAAGGCGGCATCAATAAAACGCAATATAATTGAATAATACGATAAATGTTTTAATATGATTATGTTTGATGCAAGACATTATTATAGATATGAAACAAAGATGGCAGCTAAATTATTTATCCCCGAACCGCCAAATAATCCAATAACGTTGATAAAGTGCAGAAGCATACCGCTCTTGTGATCAGCACAGTGACATAATAGAATTTGGATGGCAGCTTGGAAAAGTGGTGGCCACATCGCGGGAGAACGGAATGCTGTCCAGATAGTATTTGGATGGAACGTATAATTGTCTATTCTGCGTATATCATGTGCCCTTTACAACAGTGCGACACGAGGAATGGAATACTGACTGACACAAAACATATGTTTGTGGCATTTCCTTGTAAGACCAATGGTACTTTCACCAATCTTTTCTAAAATTCAAATTTACAAATTGACAGATTTGATCAAGTGTATGGGAAGTTCTGAAAACCCAGACGCTGCAAGTAAATATGATTGCAATAGTTGAATTTCGCATACATTGTTATGAAATTAATCATATATGTTTACAATGTGGAGAAAATATATATTGCCAAATAAACGAAGATATGTTTTAAACATATGAGGGTAGTTGTATGCAATATCAAAACGCACATGAATTATGGATTTCCATATTGTTCATTATTTACAATCCAGCTGTTCAATTGTTAAAAAACATGTGATTAGTCATATGTCTGTATGATCCACGAGAATGATAAGATACACGCATGGACTTACAGTTTCTGCCATGTTACAGAATACTTAAGTCCACCGAATACAATTATTGCACGGATGTAAAATTATTATACTTAATGATATTGTTTTAATTAATTGCGACTGGGACAGAACACAGTGATAATTAATTTTACGACATACGTCATCATATACACAATGATAATTAATTTACGACATACGTCATCATATACACAACGATAATTAATTTTACGACATACGTGATCATATACACAATGGTAATTAATTTTACGACATACGTCATCATATACACAATGGTAATTAATTTTACGACATACGTCATCATATAGAGGTATCTAAGTACACCACGGTTTCTGTATGCTAAATCAGTACCAAATTCATGAAGGTAATAATATGGTCATTTGGATGCCGTATCTTGTACTTTGTATTAAAGGCGAAGCGACAGGGCTACCCACTGTTATCCTACCAGCAAGAAGCATAATCGATGTCGATAAAGAAGTCTGGTTGTCACACGACCGTCGCGGATTGTAAGGCGCTTCGTTAGTGTCTTGTAAGAATATTGTGTTTCATATCACCATAATGGCTGAACAATCATAATGTTGTCATTTATTCAGTGTTTGTGGATGTGTTAGTTTACTACTTATATCATCCAGTCTCATTATTCGTTACATCCGAAGCATAATAATTCCATCATATATTCTGTAGTGTAGTGGTGTTGCGTTTTAAGCCTGCCATTTATATTTTGTATATATTTGGAACTGTTGGTATAAGCGTTTCAAGCTTATTGGCAGAGTGATTAAAGGTAACTTAAATTGTTTCTGTGTATTATTTTGCGATGTAGAAATTCTAAATAGAATGCTAGTTATCAGTTAAATCAATAACATTATCATTGTAGAATCATTTTGGACATTTTCACAAACATTCTTTTTAATACTTCTGTCGAATGTCTTTTACTCAATTAATATAATCCATTATAACCACCGTGTTTAGAAAAATAACATTAACCTGCATCAACTGACACAAAACACTGACAGCATAATTTTGGAGGAAAGGGCAACATATGTTTCCTATTCTGATACAAGTGTGCTGTGTGTATTGTAAAAGTACTTCCTAAACGCAAACTGAAATGTACTCATGCCAATAATGGTTGTCACCCCCCTCCCCACCCCAACCCCACACACATCTCACACCCCCACCCCACACCCCCTCTTCAATTAAAAAAATTGAAGGGGGTTACAACCATTATTGGCATGAGTATATCTCAAAGAATATGAACGAAGTGAGCCTTGAAGAATATGCCAGTGGCACTATTTATCATCTATCATACATGTAAAAATATCGAGAAAAATAATTTCAGTGTATTTCATATAAGCAAAGCCTACACTGAAAAATAACAAACCTGCAAACATGACATGGAGAGACTAAATCTGAAATAATGCTACAATAACGACAGAATGTACGAATTGACCAAAATAAGAAATAATGCACATTACATCGGCGCTGTCTTAAAATTAGAAAAATACGCCGTATGTGTATATTCATTATTTTAATTGTGTTTCATATTTATCATACGCGTGTCTCGTAAGCTGACAGGTCTCGTAGGCCTCATATGAGGCTGACGTTGTTAGTTTCATCTATATTGTTATTTTGATTTTGCACAATGTAAATGCAAAGTGAGACACAATAATATAAACTATATTTCTTCTTCTTCTTCTTTTCTTCTTCTTGTAGCTGGTCCAAGTAACCAGTAGTGACTGAATAGGTCATATATCAATGATCACCTGGGAACAACGCATAATGTACACCGAGAGGGGTAGAAAGGTTACATTTCGTGTTTTCGAAACACATACGCTTTTATGGTCCGCCCTTTAACATATTTTAACAAAAAAGGGAATCAAATCAGTTCAGAACATTACAGTTAATTACAAAGGTACTTAACGTCCATCATGTCAGCTCCCGGGTACTTGCCATTTACACATGACTATGAGTTGCGAAAATTAAGAACCATATCAGTTTTTAGAATGGTCACTGTAAAATAGGCAACATATTCTAGACAGTTGTGACAGGAGATTGAAATAGTTGCTTAGTCTAACTGGAACATCACTGGCCACAAGAAGGAGTGTGCTTTTTAAACAAACTTGCAAACATTAAATAACATGTTTGGTATATTTTAACTTTAAAATGAACTAAAACATTTTCCACTTAATGCAAGTACAGTGCTAATAAACTTTGGACTTTGTGATTTCGTGAAAGTGTTTCTGTCAAAAACAGATGTTTCCGAAATAACATAACGTTTATTTTTTTTTAAATATATAATTCATAACGTCACGTCGTTTTAGAAAGATCACACGAAGCCAAACGGAATGAAAGTTTCCTTCAAATTCTATTAATCTTTCATTTGTGCGTATTAAAAATGTTGATTTATTGGGTTGGGGCGTTGATTCATTGCAAAGTACACCCGGGGCAACATAAAGCATAAATTAAACATATGATAAGTTAATTTTCTACTGCTTCGGTCATATTTCCCTCTAGCGATTGTTTAACGTGGCAAAGCAAAATATGTTTCACTTTTATGTGAAAACTGCAATGAGAAGCCGTGGGCACTGGTGAGACAGCTCAATTAAAGAACCGGCTGTGATGACGATCTGCCTCCGAACAGTGAACGACGACTCAACGCTGGACTACGTTGATCAGGCTGTGAGGGCTATGTCCAGTGAGATGACCATACGTTACTTTGTCTCCGGGAGAGACGAAAGGACTTACTCGCATATAAATTATGCACAAAGTAATTTGAAGTGGACACTATCGATCGCAGACTGACTACACACAAATGCGCGTGTAAATCGGCTTTCCTTCCACCGAGGGTCGAATAAACTCGAAGAATCTTTCTTTCTTTTGAGGGATTAGTGCTAATTTTCCCCACGGAGCGATATTAATAGCAGTGAAGAGTTCTTGTACGTTGACGGATGACACGAGTGCAATAAGCTCCCAGTTCGCAAGATTATTTTCGCATTTCCATCACCGAACTAAACCACCACGAATGGCTTGTTGTAGCGCTCGTTGATAAAGATTCATCCCGACAATATTAGATTACGGACTGACATAATCAAGCCTAATTTGACGACCTAGCCTTGTTTTCCAACTTCGGCTAATATCTCTCCGTGGAGAAGTCTCCATAGCGAGTGGTCGATTGCAATCGACCTCTGACCTCTCAACTCTGGCCTCCGCGGCGAGCGTTTAAAACCTCATTATGCTAATTAAAATCCTGTTGTCATGTGTCCAGACATCAAAGAGGGGTTGACGGGCGACGATGATATATAATATTGTCAGTATCCGTCGCGTCGCGAGTAGGAGCCCATCGCTGATATTGACGACGTGTGTGCATTACATCTTGGACATTAGTGACAGGCGTCACTTCCCTTTACACTGAAATAGACATCCTAATCTGCCAAGGTGAGATATATGCCTGTTGTGTATTTCTCATATAGCACGCTATCTTAATATTTTATTTGGTCATAATTCTTACTGATATTTAACACTTCATTTTTTTAAATCTTTTTAGAAGGAGGTGTTTTACTTGCGTTTATTCCGTCCTGCCTACTGATTTCGTTTACTACTATTTGTCTTTTTAGTGATAAATCTAAACAATTAACGATAGTTTAGTATTGAATATAACCTGTAGATATGGTCTCGGGTACGTAGATTACCAAAACTGTTTTAATCCGGGTGCTGTGACCGTTGTAACAGCACATCTGTCACAATAGGATGTGCTTGTTAAGCACCACTAACCATACCGACTTCTTCTAATTACAGGAATAACTAATATTTTATGTTTTATTCCAATTATTGCATGTATTTCAAACTAATCCCAAACGTCAGAATGTTGTTTATGCAGATCATAGTGATAAATCAAAGTTAAATAGAGTATTTCATTGTGAATCTGAACCGTTTACCCATGATGTACTATCTACTCTAGAACGAACAGGGAAATAAGGTGTTATCAACAGTTACCACATACGCCGTTAAGGATAACAGTTTCTACACAGCTCACAAAGGGAGATAAACTAGGGCGAGGACATTAAATTCCCCATAACGAGATTGTGACATGTTGAAGACTTTTAACGTTATTGTTTCGTGTGTTAAGGCGGATGTACACATTTTACATGATATTTATTCCGATCAATATCAGCTGCACTCCTGCTTGTGCGCAATTGTATATACCATAGCCTATAACACAATCTGGCTGATTTCAATGGTTAGACAGCTAAAGCACATTAAGAGATCACGTATACGAGGAGCCGAGTTTGACAACTTGTGTCTGTTTTGCGTATGGCCTATGCTTAACAAATGTTTTATAAAGGAGTTTAAATATTTAAGTATTTATAGATGCATAAAAGAGCAAGTGGTGTAATTATATACCTTTATACATGGAACATAATCTTGGAAATATCACGCCAAGAGAGTTCACTGTGAAGTGGTGGCATGACGTTCAAAAGTCGCTTGATGTGTGTATATAGTGTCCAGCACTACCTTTTATTCAACATAATATGTGATGGTGGGTTAATATATACCTGAAATTGATATAGCATCAACTATTACTACAACTACAAGAAGTATATAATGATTTGAGATTTATCAAAATTGTTTTACCTTCACATCTAAAACTGTTTAAAAAATACATATGTTATTTCTTCATCTAAAATATGTTCATGGTTTTAAAACAAATTTATTTTCTTTTTCATTTTATGAGAGTATATGAATAAAATAAATATTAGCTCAGGTCCCAGGCCCTCCCAAAGATTATGAGTCCATTAACGACATCTTGAAATATTTTCTTTAAAAAGGTTTGTACAGAAATATTTTATTGTAGGTTGTGTGAGTTTAGGTTATTATACATGCACATATTGGGTATATGTTCAGTCATACAGGTATAATCACAACAGGAAATTAATATTTGACCAATATATATTAGATATATGAGCGGCTGCTGTTCTGTGGTACGCAACGCGTTCTAGCTGCTTTAAATGGTGGCCCTG